TGGCCAGGTGCCGGCCTGTGCGTGCGTCCGTGCAGTGGGTCACCCGCTGACTCGCAGGAGTGAACTGGTGAACCCCCGCATCCTGTAGGTCTGCACCACTCACCAAGTTCGTCGAGAACGAGGCGAGGTACAGGCCAGACAGGGTGCCCGAGGGGGCAGCCGGACACGGGAGGACAGTGGAGAAGTGAGCGAGGACAGGACCCCCAGAGGGGTCAGCCAGGGAGACTGCAACCGGCCGACCAAGCGGCGTGAGTGTGGTGCGATCCCGAAAGAAGGAGCGAGAAGCCCCAGAGTCAAGTGTAAAGGTGAGGGAGGCCGAAGCCAACGCGGTACCTGAGAGCGCAGCCTCACCCGCACCTGAGGAAGCAGACTCACTAGCACCTAGAGCAGCAGCCGCACCTGTACCTGGAGCAGGAGACTCACTAGCACCCAGAGCAGCAGCCTCACCAGTAGCTAGAGCAGCAGGTCCTATACCTGGGTCAGGCGGGACGCACAGGTGACCGGCACGGTCAGCACTAGTAGGCAATGCATACATGGCAGTGAGAATAGCATCATAGTCAAGAGCATATATATCTACCCTCTGCCTAAGCAACTCCACCCAGTCGGGAAGCTCAGCCTCGTCGCCAAACACGGTACGCCAGGCGTCGCTCAGACGGGCGAAGCAGCGGGACGGTGTATGACTACGTGTCCCACAAGGCTGACCAGTCCGAGTACCAGTGCGAATCACGTAAGAGCAGCGAACAGCACTGAGAGACCCTCCACTCTGAGCGTACCACTCACGAAGCTGGCGAGGCGTGAGAGACACGCGAGAGGGTCGCGGGAGCTGCATCTGGCCGCCACCACGAGTAGAAGTAGTAGGAGTGGTAGTAGGAGTAGCGTCGCCACCCCTACAGCCCCAACCAGCGTACCACTCACGCAGCTGCTGGGGCGTGAGGGACTCACGCCGGCGTCGCTGGGGCTGCATTTGGCTCCGCAAGTAGAAGCAGGAGCAGGACTAGCAGCAGGAAGGCAGGCAGCCAGGCAAGCCAAAAGGCAGGCAGGCAGGCAAGCAGGCGACGCGCAGCGTGCTAGCAGGGCAAGAGCTCACCAGTGGTGGGAAGAGTAGGCTCGGCGACTCAGCGGCTCGGCAGCTCGGCGGCTCGGCGGCTCGGGCGACTCGGGCGGCTCGGCGGCAAGGCGGCTCGGCAGCAACTGCAGCTCAGCAGCTCGGTGACTCGGCGGCTCGGCGGCAGGGCGGCTCGGCAGCAACTGCAGCTCAGCAGCTCAGCGACCCGGCGGCTCGGCGGCAGGGCGGCTCGGCTGCTGGGCGGCTCGGGTGCAGGGCGGCTCGGCGGTGGGGCGGCTCGGCTGCTGCAGTGGGAGATGAGGGAGGAGGAGAAGCAGGGGAGGCCACACACCTGCCACCCCTCTGCTGGCCTCTCAGGTTGCCTCAGGTCCCCTCAGGTCGCCTCAGGCGACGGGAAAAGGGGGGGGGGGGTGGTGGGGGCCGGTAGGTGCAGCGGCGGGGCCAGCAGGTGCAGTTGCGGGGCCGGTAGAAGGGGACGGCAGGAGCCGTCAGGAGGGGACGGCGGGGCCGTCAGGAAGGGACGGCGGGGCCGTCACGAAGGGACGGCGGGGCCGTCAGGAGGTGACCGGGCCGCGACGGGGGCAGGCGGCGGGGCCGCGTAAGGGCCTGGGCGGGGCCGCGACAGAGTCGTCGGCGGGGCCGCGTGAAAGCCGGGGCGGGGCCGCGTAGAAGCCGGGGCGGGGCCGCGCGAGAGCAGGCGGCGGGGCCGCGAAGGAGCCGGGGCGGGGCCGCGTGAGAGCAGGCGGCGGAGCCGCGTAAGGGCCTGGGCGGGGCCGCGACAAAGCCGTCGGCGGGGCCGCGTGAAAGCCGGGGCGGGGCCGCGTAGAAGCCGGGGCGGGGCCGCGCGAGAGCAGGCGGCGGGGCCGCGAAGGAGCTGGGGCGGGGCCGCGTGAGAGCAGGCGGCGGAGCCGCGTAAGGGCCTGGGCGGGGCCGCGACAAAGCCGTCGGCGGGGCCGCGTGAAAGCCGGGGCGGGGCCGCGTAGAAGCCAGGGCGGGGCCGCGCGAGAGCAGGCAGCGGGGCCGCGAAGGAGCCGGGGCGGGGCCGCGTGAGAGCAGGCGGCGGGGCCGCGACAGAGAGGGCGGCGGGGCCGCGTCAGTGAAGGCGGCGGGGCCGCAGGGGAAATGGCGACCCGAGGGGTCGCTAAAAAAAGATCGCGCCTCGGGGGGCGCTTCGGTGGGCCCAAAAAAAAAACGGTCCGTAGAAGGACCCGCTCTATACCATGTGAGAATAAGCGAACAGGAATGGGTGAACTAGCAGTGAAAAATGAGTACAAGTAGGAAACCCTAGAATTGTGTACCCCCTATAGGCTAACCCACTGTAGCCTACACAAGCATAACATATATAATGTTTGACATCTATCAGCAGCAGCTCGGGTGTCTACTCTTCGCCGCTGTCACATGTCGCCCGGACCTCTCGTATGCCGCTAGCCAGCTCGCGCACTACCTGCGCTGACCTGAAGGGGAGAATATGGTGGATCGGCGATGCGCCTTACAATATTTTCTCTACACCTGACATCGGCCTCACCTACAAAGCGAACTTTACGGCTAACCTACAGCTTACCCGCTACGTGGACGCTGATCACACTGGGGATGCAGATAACAGTAGGCCATGGACAGGTTTGAATTTTAAACTCTAGCCTGCATGAACCATCTCCTCGAACTCACAGAAGAGGGAGATCATTACCCTTTCGTTAGCAAAAGCAAAATTCGTCGCAGGAAGTGCACCAGTTCGTGAAGGACTCCACCTCACAGAGCTCCTATAGGAAACGAAAGAGGCGATGAACAGGTCATTCAAGTTTGTGCGACAACCAGAGCACGATCAAGATCGCAAACAAACCCAGCTTCGTCAACCGCACGAAACGTATCATCCTGCGTACCGTAATACCCAGGATATAAGACCCGGGCCTTATCATCAGGTCATGTATATTACTTCTGTTTTGGAAGCCATACATGTCAACACTGTGTGCTTGGTTTTTAGCATTTCAAGGGAATACGCACTGTTAAATTCATGTTTAGCATTCAAAACTAATACACGAAATTGACATGATAAGTATATGTGCTTTTGTGACTGGCTGTACCACTTGTTATTGAGAAATTTATGGGATTTGGTATGGAAAGGGGCAGAAAAGCTATCGGAATTGCATTCATTGCCAATAAAACGACCGATTCTCTAGGGGGAGGGGGGTCTTATAATGTTAGCCCCCATTTAGGGGGTTATAACAGAAACGACCTATTTAGCGTACCCCCTTCGTATTATAGATCCGGGGGTCTACAACTGGAGGAAGTCTTATATTCGGGGTATTACGGTACTTCTTCGTCAAGGACGAAATCGACAAGGGCAAGGTCCAGGTGACTTACTGTCCAACTGGCAAAATGGCAGCTGCAGTGCTTCAGGAGCCAGCGAAAAAGTCTGATTTATGTAAAAAGGGCTGAGATTTCAGACCTTTTTTAGGACAGAGGCTGATTTTCCAGCAATTTGTTGAAAAGAAACAGTAAAATTTAATAGATTTGTAATGTAAATTGGCATAAAATGGCTGATTTGTATGATATTCAGCAAAATGCTTTGTACCAACTCTAATTTTTCAGCCTAGGCCAAAACGAATCTGAGGCCCTGGGCTGCTGACTTTCTGACGAAGAAACTGCCACGTCAGAAGTTCCACTACTGCGCTGACTTCTACATTCACTATGCACAAGGTTCCTACCACAAAGAATTACGCAATCTTATCCTATCCAAGATTCTCACTCTAACACATCACACTTCGCGTTTACCCTTACCACGCTAGTTCGCTTTATATCATTTGCTCATTCCTTCGCTCACTGTATTGTTTTCCTTTTATAGTGCAAGTGCAATACTCGTTCGCTCACTCAATTGCACTAGTAATACTCAATTGTTGAGTTTCTGTTACAATCCCAAGTGGGACTTAGCGAAGGATCGCTCAGGGTTGATCGCAGAGTAGTGTTGCAGCGGAAGTTTGAATCTCAGGTCAGAGTGAATGTAAATGACTGAGTTGATAAAAACATGCATACATCGGGTTTATATAAGAATACAGGGGAATACGAAAAGACCTAGACTAGCCATGTACTCTAAGGGGTACATTCCCTTATTACAGCAGTTTCAAACCGTGCGGCACGGGAACCCGTTTTGAACCTGTTCCCGCTCTTTCCACTTCAAATGTTTCTGCCTGCATCGGTCTTGGTCAGGCGGTTGTCACGTCGCTTCGACTCTTCTGACTCCTCGACTTCGTACTCGGTAGAGTCGACTCCTGCAGCATACAGGAATGCCTTCTCATAAAACTTCATATCGTAACAGTTTCAAAGCCACGACCAGGGCCCAAAATTGGTTTAGGCCCACCTTGACAAATCAGGGATCCAAGCCCCCATTACCCTGACACGTAGGGTAATAATTTTCGTACGATGATGGCAGTAGCCGGAAATTTCCTCACACTGATTTTACCAGGGTATTGTTATTCCAGCCTCAAATACCTTACCGTAAGTCGCAGCCGGCGCTCTCAAAACGACATGTGGCACGAAGGCGCGGGGCAGGGCGGCGCGAAGGCGCGGGGCCAGGCTGCGCGAACTGGCAGGGCAGCGCGACGCGCGAAGGGCGACGGGCAGGGTGGCGTGATGCGCTGGGCAGGGCTGCGCGAGCCGGTCGGTCAGATCGCGTGCTAACGGCAACGCTAAGGAAACGCGCGGGGCGAGTGTAGGGCAGCGTGTAAGGCAGCACGAAGGGTGCATGCAGGGCAGAGCTAACGAGGTGCATACTGTTGAGTAGGTCTGGGCAATGGTCACTAGGATCGGTCTTAACCTCACACTCTGATACCATGTTAAGAAGTACGAGTGACTAGAAGAGAAGTTTACAAGGATGTAAGTATCAAACCTTAATGGTTTGTACCCTGTAGGGTTATCCCACTATAGCCTACACCAACAAATATCATATGTAGTTTGACAGGCCAGAGAAGGCAGCAGCCACAACGATGGCAGCAAGCAGCAGCAGTGCGGCCCAGTCGCGGGCGTGCAGAGCAAAGTGGCCGAGGAAGTAGAGGCGGTGCGTGGTGGGGTCTCCTGAATACCCCCGTGCTATCATGGCCTGGCAGGCAGGTGGAAATGGAGGGCCGGAGAGGTGGCAGAGGGCGTGATGGAGAGCGGAGAGAGAAAGGAGATCAAGGAGATAACAAGCGAGTCGGGGTCAAAGTGGAGGCACACAGTGACAGCAGGGTGAAACAACAAGAGGAGGGGTGCAGCACTGGCACTTTGTGGCGTGCATGTGCATTAACCCATGCTTGGCGTGGAAGAATTCAAAGGCCAAGGTGAGGCCGGGCGTGCAAGAGCGAGAGGGAGAGGGCGGCAGATGTGGAAGGAGGAGGGAGCAGCACCTGTGAGATCTGGTCGGCGTGCGTGAAGAGGTTCTGGAAAAGACGCCCCGCTAGCGACAGCACCACTGCCGTGCGTGCACAGCGCATCAGCGCATGGGTGGGGAAATGCATGGGTGGGGAAATGAATGAATCGGGAAATGCATGGATGGGGAAATGCATGTGGGCGGGGAAATGCATGGGTGGGGAAATGCATGGGTGGGGAAATGCATGGGTGGGGTAATGCATGGGTGGGGAAATGCATGGGTGGGGAAATGCATGGGTGGGGTAATGCATGGGTGGGGAAATGCATGGGTGGGGAAATGCATGGGTGGGGAAATGCATGGGTGGGGAAATGCATGGGTGGGGAAATGCATGGGTGGGGAAATGCATGGGTGGGGTAATGCATGGGTGGGGTAATGCATGGGTGGGGAAATGCATGGGTGGGGAAATGCATGGGTGGGGAAATGAATGGATGGGGAAGTGCATGGTTGAGGAAATGAATGGGTGGGGAAATGCATGAGTGGGGAAATGGAGGGGGCGGGGTGGGAAACGAGTGCATAGAATCAGACCAAAACAAGCACATGAATATCATCTACACAGCAAAGGGAGAGGATGGAGCAAGAACAATGGAGAGAAGCATTTGTGACGGAAAACAGCAAGGACGGCAAATGAGAGGCAAGCAGGCATTGGGATGTGAAAGGCCAGGAAGTGGCAGATGAGGGCGTGGGTGGTCATGGGAAGCAGAAATGACACCACATTGCACGTTAACGTATGCTTCACTGCCAAAACACATAATCTTCCACAGGCAGCACAGGCAGCACAGGCAGCACAGGCAGCACAGGCAGCACAGAGAGCACAGAGAGCACAGAGAGCACAGAGAGCACAGAGAGCGGTGGAACACTGACGGTCGAGCATGGCGAGGGGCGGCAGCTTGCTCCAGTGGATACCGCGTGCCACGGTGCCGAGCGCCAGCGAGCGCAGCTCATCGAAGACGAGCCCCAGGAAGCGCAGTGACAGCAGCAGCGTCAAGATGGCCGCCTCCACGCCCACGCCCACCGCCTTCAGTGGCCGCATGCCCCACCGCAGCGCCCCCGCCATGGCCTCGGGGCTCGTTGTGATGAGACTCACCGCTGCCGCGTGCAGCACCTGGGAGGCGGGGGGAAGAGGCCAGGTTGTGTGGGCTCTAGCTTGCATGGCACATGACCGAATGGCGGAGGACAAGCAGAGCTGAAAACAAGCAGCGGGGTGCAAAGTTGAGGTGAGGGGGGTGACGGGGGGCGGGCCCACAATGAAGGAGAGTGAGGCGGCCATGGCAGCGAGCTTGGCGGCACGGCGGGTGAGCAGCAGCGGGCCGACGTGCAGCAGCACGTAGCGGTAGGTGGAGGGCAGCAGCGGTGCCATGGACGCCACTGGACCCAGTGCCGGCGATGCGGAGGCAGCAACAGAGGAGGAGGCGAGGGCGAGGGGCTCAAGGGCGAGGGGCAGCGGGCGCGGCTGCACAAAGGCAGGCACACCGTCGGTGCTGAAGGCGAGACCCAGGAAGATGAAGGCCGTGAAGAGCAGCGAGCGCCACAGCTGCGCCTGCCGTGTGGACAGGGGGCAGTGGGTACGTGGGTTGGCAGCAGGGAGGGAAAGAGGGGTTTGATGTGCGGCGGAGGAAGCAGGTGCAGAAGGTAGGCGAAAAAGGGTGGCCTTGGGAAGACAGATGTGCGTGGCGTGGGGACGAGGGTGTGCGGTGCAGGAGAGGCAGTGGCGCGTGCATGGTGGGGTTGTGGTGTGGTGGGTGAGCGCTCACCCGCGCAATGGAGGCGGGCAGGGCGAGCAGCGTGAGGGCGATGAGGAAGGCACAGAGGGCCAGGCGCAGGTCAAGGCCGGACCGTGCTGGCAGCAGCACCAGCATGAGCAGCCACAGCTGGTGAGGGGGGAGAGAGGGGGTCAGAGGGGGCGCACACGGGATGAGCCGGAAGGACGTCCAAGGAAGGGGCTCTGTCTTTGCCTTGCCCCCTCCGCCCTTTCCCCCATCCTTCCTCCGGCCATGCTCCCAACCTCATTTCCTCCCTCCGCCGTTCCCCCCCTTGCTCCCTCGGCCCACCCCCCCCCCCCCCCCCCCTTGCTCCCTCCGCCCTCCCCCCTCCTCGCTTTCTCCGCCCTTCCCCACCCCTTGCTCCTCAGTCCCCTCCCACTCCTGCGCTCCCTCCCCCTCAGCAGCACATGCCCGCACCTGCTTAACTCGCGGGTCTAATCGGTGCAGAGCGGTGACAGGTTCGGCAATAAACGAGCCGATGGGTGCGGAAGAGCTGTTGACGATGCCGCTCATCACGCGCTCGCCCAGCGACTCGCGCCCGCGCCACGCCCGCCACTGCCACCCCCGCCGATTCCCACCCGAACCTGATGGCTCCGAACCTAACGAATCAGGCTCGGAAGGGCCTATGGCGGCCCCCTCCGGCAGCGGCGTTGCGCCGCTCTGATCGCCAGCGCCCGCTTGCGCGGCGGAAGAGGCCCGCGCGGCCACGCATGGCTGGCGGCCGCGGCTTAGAGGCTCGGCGGGAGAATGGACGACGCGGGAAGGGAGGGGGGGGCGCGAGCGGGAGCCGGCGGACCAGAGCGAGGAGCGGCGCGAAGCGGATGTCGACGCGCGCGCACACGCATGGGCGCGAGGGCGCTCGCACGCGGGCTCGGCGGCCGGCTTAAGGAAGGGGTTACGGGCAGGAGTGGATCCGCGGCGAGCAGCGACGGACGGTGGAGCGGCGGATGATGGCAGCGGCTTCCACACGGCGGCGTGCATTGCGGGAATGATGGAAATCACAGCTGCTTCGTTTGTGACTCTGACTGAGCGGTAATACAGTTGAGGGTTCTGTACAACCCGCGGCATTTGGGGTGCGGTTCACAAAGGTTCAAAGGCAGCATTCAAATTTGGCAACGTAGAACTGACTTAGGGTTTTCGTAGCCTGTGTCAGACTCAGGTCAGACCCGAAGTGAGGCTCGGAAGACCCGAAGTGGCTCGTTTGTGAGGCAAATCCGAGTTCGGTTGGGCCAAATTGGAGAAGGCTTTTGAACTGAAGTCTGACCCGGGCCACGAATACACCCTAAGAATGCCAAAATTCATTAGCAATCTTTGGGTTGCGGAGCAACCTATTTCAATCGTTAGATTCTTTTTTCAATATTTTTTTTATTCGGAAAAAAAGGGAAATTATGCAAATGGTAACTTATATGGGGCTATATAACGCATACGGTAACTATAACAATGCATTATAACGCGTTTGGTAACTCGATTCACGCGTTTGGTAACTCGATTCACGCGTTTGGTAACTATACACTGCCAAGCGATCACGCGGATGGTAACTGTATGAAACCGTCGCCCGAAAAATCTGTTGGGAACAATAAGTCTTAAGCGCCTCTGTCGTGTCGAAACTCAGGACACAAAGCGAAGAAGTCCAAATCGAAGCATCGCGAGTCAACCCTCGGAGGTTAGGGTAACCGCCCGAAGGTTACGGGAAGGTCAAAGGTCAGCGACCTCTGACTTGACCAATACCGCGCGACAGCAAGGACACACAACTGACTCGACATTGAGCAGTTGCCCGAGTCGCACTGTATCGAATCGCAACAGCAAGGTAGTTTAATTACATCTATTCGTATTCCTTGTACTCTTATATAAAGCTTTGTATTTGCCTGTTTTAATCAACTTACTTTGCCCTCACATACCAGCGCAAGGTGGTTCAAGGCTTTCTTATTCAACGCTTCCGCTATTACATCATCCTACTCAAACTTTAACTCTACAAAGATCCTAGGGCACCCCAGCCCAACATGGTATGAGAGCAGTTAGAGCTTAAAAGTTATTCCTCCTTTTACAAAATACAAGAAGACATGTCTACTAGGAAGGAGAGAAGCTCCTCCAACGGTTCTCCAGGCACTACTCCAACTCCACCTCCTGTCTCTGGCCTACAGACAGAGGAAGGGACTACCACGAGACCAGCAGCTGGGTCCACGGAAACACCCGCAGGCTTCGATCCAAGCATGATGGAGAAATTCTTCTCCTTCATGTCCTTCTACGAGCAGCACCAGCAAGGAGTACCTGCGCAGTCAAACAACAGCAACAACAACAACGTGACTCCTATGAGTCTCGACGGCTCATCCTATGCACGCGGGATTCAACAACAACAACAGCAGCCTACCTTTGCGCCGTACGAACCCCAGCGTGGCTCCGTCAGCTTCATGCCGCAACCGCAATCTGCACCAGGACAAGAATGGGCATTGGACGCATTACAAGTTCAGTCGCAATTCGCGCACGTCCTAAAGCTGCAAATGACAAAGCCTTTCGACGGCAAAGACTTCTTCACCTGGTCGTTCGAGTTCGAATTGATGATGGAAGGTGTGAAGAAAGGAACGTGAATGAATTGACTACGAACGAGGTGAGTACAAATAGGAAACCCTAATTGGGTTGTACCCCCTATGGGATACCCCACTATAGCCTACACAAACAAGTAAGCTACAATGTTCTGACACACCCCCATAGGCAAAGTGGGGGAGAACAAGGGGTCACAAGACCAGTCAAGCAAAGCAAAGCAAAGCTCAGGGTGGATCACAAAGTCACCACACATTCCGAGCAGAAGGTCAAGGGCCACAAGGCCAGTTCGCATGCAAGATCATATATAGAGATATATAAGAGTCAAGCAAGCAAGAGCAAGCGTATATATAGGTCAAGGTACAAGCAAGGTCAAGAAGTGAGCAAGTGAGACAAGACAGGCACAAGACCCAGCTGCGTGCAGCAACGCTGATGATCACAAGGCGCAAGTGCCTTGGTGAAGACATCAGCAGTGTTGGCCTCAGAGGCCACGTACGCAAGTCGCAACTGTCCACGCTGCTACAGCTCACGAGCAAGAAAGTAGCGGAGAGCAATGTGCTTTGTCCTGTGCTCCAGTCGCTGCTCTCGACACAAGGCCAGCATGGCCTTGTTGTCTACGTACAGGACTGGAGGAGAACGAGGCGGCTCTCCAAGGTCGGTCAGCAGGTAGGTGAGCCAGCGAAGCTCCTGAGCAGCCATAGCCCCGGCGTAGATCTCAGCCTCACAACTGGAGCCGAGAACAGAAGACGAGCGAGTAGCCCGCCACGAGACAGAGCCGGAACCAAGGCTGAAGGTGTAACCCTGTGACGACCGCTGCGTAGCCTGGTCGTCAGCCCAAGAAGCGTCCGCGTGCCCAGTGAGGACCACTGGACTGCGCCCTCCAAGCACTAGCCCCATGCCCGACGTACTGCACAAGTAGCGCAACACCCTCTTCGCTGCAGCCATGTGCTCTGGTCGGTGTCTCCCAGGAGCAACATAGCGTGCGAGAATGCTGAGAGGGTATGCAAGGTCAGGTCGTGTGCAGGTCATCAGGTACATGAGGCAGCCAACAAGCTCTGCATACGGGCCACTCGACTCTACGGACTCATCCGAAGGCAGAGCTGAGAGCGAGTGGCGAGTAGGCAGAGGAGTGGCCTGAGGCGAGGAGTACGTGAAGCCGAAGCGCTGAAGGACCTGCTGCACCATGTGTGACTGAGTCAGGGTAATGGTGCGGCGTGCTCTGTCCCGGGTGATCTGCAAGCCAAGGTAGCTGCGCAGTTCACCCAGGTCTGTGCACGTGTGTCTCTTCTGCAGCTCGGACTTCACGTAAGCGAGTCCAGCAGTGTCCGCTGTGGCAAAGACCAAGTCGTCGACGTACACGGGGATGTAGAACGGCAACATAGAGGTGTCGGTGCGCAGAAACAGCGACGGGTCGGCAGTAGAAGGAGCAAACCCAAGTGCCGCAAGCGTAGTCCTCAGTGTGTCGTGCCACTCACGTGGCGCCTGGCAGAGACCGTAGACTGGACGCCGGAGACTCCACTGGGTACCAGGAGGGAAAGACCCAGTGAAGCCAGGTGGGCGACGCAGCCAGATCTCCTCGTGCAAGCTGCCCTGCAAGAAAGCTGTGCTGAAGTCGAGAGAGTGCAGCTCGTAGTCACGGTGAGCAGCAACGTGCAGCAGTACCCGAAGAGTGGTCATCTTCGGGGTGGGGGAGAAGGTCAGAAAGTAGTCAACCCCCTGCCGCTGACTGAAGCCACGAGCCACGTAACGCGCCTTGAAGACAGGCGGAGAACCAGGCGGCCGCTTCACCCTGAAAATCCACATGCCACTGACGATGTTCGCCCCAGGAGGGGGAACAGCGTCGACGTAGGTGCCTGTGGACTTCCAGGAAGCCATCTCTGCATCCATAGCTGCCTGCCACTGAGAGGAGTAGGGACCCTCTATCGCCTCCGCGTAAGAGCGCGGAGTCGGGATGTCTAGTGCATCCGGGTCTCCCTCAGGGGCTAGCAGTACAGACGCGAGATGAGGTGAAGCGGCGGCCAGACGCTAACTCCTCCTGCCTGTCCTCAAGGACGTCCGTGCCAAGGGCACACTCACCCCCGACGGACGGAGGACAGACAGACTCAGACTCAGCGACAAGACTAGCAGCGTAGTCTAGGCGACAGCGCGCAGCAAAGTCGACGAGCTCAGTGACAAGGGCAGACGCAGCAGAAGACTCGAAAGAAGGGTCAGTGACAGCAGTAGCAAGAAGACGCGTGACAGTAGGACTGGCAGCACGAAGAGAGTCCGACTCCGGGTCGGCAAGAGCAGGAAGAGAGGAAGCAGGAGGAGAAGGCAAAGGGGCACGCAGAGGAGCAGTGGACGGACGCAGAGACATCCGGTGCGTGCCAGGGACAGGAGGAGGACACTGACGCGAACCGCGACCACTAGCGCGCGCAGTACGAACAGGCGACGCAAGACGAGACGCAGGCTCACGACGCTCAGTAAGACCTCCAGTCGGACCAGCGTAGGGAGAAGGAGCAGGCAAAGGGGAGGCAGGCTGTAGCTTTGACTGTGACGAGACAGGCTGTGGACCCTCTAAGGGAGGAGGAGGAGGACCAGGAGAAGGTGTAAGACCAAGAACCTGCTGCAGGAGCGGAACGAAGTACGGCCGGGGCCGCGTGGCGACGCCAGAAACAGCAGGGACAGCACCTGTACCCCCAGCAGGAGTACCCGCTCCAGCAGCACCTCCAGTAGCTCCAGAACCTCCAGCAGCACCACCAGGAGCACCGCCAGTCGGACCTCCAGCGGCAGTCTCAGCGTCAACACCCTCAGCAGCACCAGCTCCAGGAGAACCCTCAGACCCAGCAGCTCCAGCACCCACAGTACGAGCACCGCCTGGACGCTCGGCAGCAGTACCCTCTGCAGCCGAAGAACCTCCAGCACCAGCAGCATGCCTCCAGCGTCTGGCAAACCACTCACGTAGCTCCTGAGGGGAGAGTGGCTCTCGGCGAGAC